AGTTCCAGTCTGGCTCTTAGAACCCTGTATGTGCTTCACGCAGGCTCCCTTGGCAGCAGGTGGTTCGGGGCCCTATGCACGTGGTGGTGACCAAGAGGTGACTAGTATCAGTAGGTGGGAGGATAGCAAAGGGCGGAAACTGGTACAAATCTTTCTGGAAAGACCCTATATGTCAAGATCCAAAAAATGTGCACATACTTTTTTGACCTAGATATTCATCTGCAACTCCACTCTGTACCCAGGAAAGCTTCTACCTCTTCCTACATAGTTATCTCTGGGTCTTTCTCTCTAGCCCCCCCTGAAATGTCCCAAGTCTGAAGTCTGTCATTTCCTTTGGAGCCAAAGGCCATGGCCTGCTGGACAGTGATGCTGAGCAGTCACCTTGTCTTGAAAGTGCTGAGGAAGGATGGGTTCCAGTCCCTTGGGGATGGTGACAGTAGATTCTACAAGTCTGTCCCCTTTGTCAACATCGTCCCTGAAGAGCTTTGAGGGGCTCCTCTACAATCAACCTTTCAGTAAGCATCTCTCCCCAGGAGCCTGTCATTCCATTCCTTGGAGACATTGTGGTCTCAATCCATTTTCAAGAGAACATTTCCTGACCTTGGCATCAAATGGGTCCCGTTATTAGGTGGGTGGGCATTTTATTAATTTCTTGCTCTGCTTAGGGGTCTCCAAAAATCACAAATGGGAACTTAACTTTTAATGTTTAATTTCTTGTTACGCAATGCCATCTTTTAGATGTAGCCTTCCCAGTGGCCACTTGCCTCCCCAGAGAGGCCAAGGAGGTGCCCGTGGGGAGAGGTAAGGTTTTCCTCAGCAAATGACTGTGCTCCTTCCCAAATCCACAACTGCGGTCCCAGAATTCTGTGCCATAACAATATCATTTGGGCCTGGAAAGGTTTGAGGAGCCTCATTTCCTGTTTGCATTGGTTTTAAAGGGCTACTTGCTTATCACCAAACCCTCCAAAATCTTGTTTGCCCAAAGATACCTCATCAAAAAGAATGTAGTGTTCTAATGTTGAAACTGAATAATCTCTAACTAATAGTTTGCACCGTGTATGACAGATGTCCCATATCACTGTATTTCCTGTGAAAATTAAAAGATCCTGCAGCACCCCTGTGAATTTGCTGCAGTGCCCTGGGGTGCCTTGGTGTACAGTTTGGGAACCAAATATATTCACCAAATCTCTGCTTCTCACCCCATTCCACTCCACCCCTCAGTTTATTCAAAGCTATAGCCAAAGCTGCTCAGTTTCAGACCAAATAAAAGCACCAAAAAGAACTGCCAAGCCAGATGACATCTTCACTTTGAGGACCATTTTAACAGGGCTTTTTGAAAGTGGCATAACAATTACTAAGTCAATAGCAAGAAGTTCTAAAAATAAATTTGACAATACAGAGGGACTGGTGGTCAGATGCACGTCTTGGGGCTCCCTCTGGCTGTTCTGTGAAGGAAATATCAGAAGGGGGGGCGATGCTGGACGGGCCCCAGACGGTCAGAGGAACTGCGGCGGGGCAGTGGGGCTGGAGGACGGTGGGGGAGATGCTTATGAAGTCAAGTCACTAGGCCTTCACCTGGGATTGCGGTGCAGCTCATTCTTCCACTCTGACCGCCGGAAGTCCTCACCTCGCCCCCACAGCTGGGCAGATGTTTCTATCTACCCCTCCCGCCTGAGTCTGGAGGCTGAAGGACAGCAAGGGACTCTTTTTCTTGCTTCCTCCTCATTTCTCCTCTCCATCACACCAGGCTGGAAGGGGCAGGGTTTCCTTCCTCCCACAAGGCAGGGCCTTTCCTGTCATATCCTGACTTCTTCGTAGGACACTGGGCAATCGAGCGTGCGCACTTGGTTCTTGCCTTGTTGATGACAGTTTAAGGGATTTTAAAAATCTTTTGAGTAGAGCCTGGCTTTCCAGGCTGTTGGCTTGCTGGGGACTTGTTGATTCCGCTTTGGTGGTCAAAGCTGAGTGCTGACTTCTTCGGTTTCTTCACCTGCTCACTTCAAAGACTGATGCTGCCATTGCACTGTCGTGTTTTTAGAGCATCAGTTACCATCTGAAATTATCTGCTTTCTGTCTCCTCTCATTAGAATCTAATGGTAGGGACTTCACTTATCTTGTCCAGCAAGTATCTCCATCATTTAGAACAGTGTCTGGGACACAAAAAGTGCTCAATAAATACGTGTGGAGTGAATGTATAATGCTTAAAGAATTTGCACATAGCATGTTTTCAATATGCAATAGTTAAAAAAATTTTTCAAAAATCCACCAACAAAGATTTTAGGGACAAGGCAGCTGTAAGAAAATGAAGAGCCTACAAAGGAACAAAGACCAGAGCGCCCAGGAAGGGGGGCCTGGAATCCAAGAAGAGACACAGTGGACCGGATAAAGTAGGAAGAACTGGAAGGGGGCGGTGGGTCCCTGGAGCTCCCTGATGCGCCGTAGGAGGAGGGCGCAGCCGGAGCCAGAGAGCTTTGGGCACAGGAGTAAGTGCGAGGCAGGGAGCGGGAAGAGCGAGCGAGGACAAGTCCAAGAAGAGAAGGATGGGGCAGGAGCTAAAGGTGATGCAGGATTGAAGGAAAGGTTTTTTTAAAAAAAATTTATTTTGGGGGAATATGTTTTGTAGGCTGAGAGTTGAAGAATCCAGAAAAGAGAGAGGGCTTTCCTGATTTTTCTGAATTGTGTATCATCTCTTCTTTTAAAGTCCCACCTTCCTTAGGCAGGCATTTATAATTACTAGTCGTATCCCTCTACTGGCGACGAAGCTCAGTAAGGGAAGGCCTGTGCCTCACACAGCATCTTACCGAGGCATACGATAGGCCTGTAAGCGTGGCCTGAATGCGGCTACATCCCTTTCCGTAGACTTTGCTTTCTCCAACCCCATCATGCTCGACTAGGGCCAGACTCAGTGCTTTGCCACGTGCCCATCACTCAAAACACTGGCAAGTAACAGGCGGGGAGACGGAGGACACGGTTTTACTGCACCTCACGCAGTAAACTGTAACCGAAAATCTCTAAATAGGAATCTACGTTCGAAAGTCTCTAAATTCTCCCAGTCTTTCTCCAAGGCCGTGCTGTCTGGGATCCTTCTGTCCTCTCCTCCCTACGCAGACTGAAGGTCCTACTGATCGCACTGAGCAACTGCACACTTCCCCACAGCCCACACGGGTCAGAACTGGGACCACCCTTTTTCCTTAAGCATGCTGCTCCGTTTGCCTCATGGCCATCCGTGTACATATGTATGTCTCCAACATTCACTAAACGTCTCTACCAGTATTTGTCAACGTATGGTCCACAGACCACCTGAATCACCTGTGGTGCTTTAACGGGCAGATAGATTTCTGGGCCCCGCACCTGCTGAATCAGAATGTCTGGGGGTGGGGCAGGTACCCATAAATGTTTGAGAACCAGCGGCTATGCACTGTGCCAGCCCAGTCTGTGTGCATCTCCTTCCAATAACATTCTGTAGCCTTTAACGTACCCACAGGAAACCCAAATGTTCAGGCACCCACCCTACGAGGGCTGACCTTGATCCGCCAAGGGTCCAGGCCCTGCAGCTCCCGGGTCCACTCCTTTTGCTTGTGTTCGCCCTCAGCCTGTGCCACGTCCCTCTCCTCCCACCATTCGGCATTCAGCCGTCCTCCTGGCCAGCTCAGACGCCGCCTTCGCAGCTTGGAAGCCCTCAGCCAGCACTGTCCCTGAAGCACACACCTTTTGCCTTGCTTGTTTCGTGCTGAAATGGCAACTATTTCCCGAGCATATGCATTGTTCCCTGAAGAGATGGTAAGCTTCTAAGAGTCACTGGGCTATAACTCTCTTTGTTTTTCTCAGAGCAGCTAGCAAAGAAGGGTGTCTGTGACAGTTTTGGCTGGATGACTGACTAGAGAAGGGCAGTGAAGGCAGCTCTAAGCATGTGGAAAAGCATGCCCTGGGGAGTCCTTTCTCCATGAGCACGTGCCCAGTCCCCTGACGGCCTTCCCGAACAGAATTCTGGGGAGCGGATATGGCTCAGGAAAAGGAAAGGAGACAGGTTCACTCTGAGAAAAGACATGGCATTTTCTGAAAGCAAAAGGAGACCTTGACTAATTTTTACCTTGTTGGGTTTTTTAAATCCAATCTTTGCTAATTGAAAATTAGCTTTTAAAGACAAGATCTAATGTGAGGAACAGAACTGTCACTGAAGGATAGAGACGGATACTGAAAATGTGCTGCTTCTCCCTGTCCACAGATGCAACAGACAGGAGGAGACGGAGCAGAGCGGGAACCGGGAGCAGGGCTCCCCCAGAGAGGGCCTGCCTCTCAGCGCACTCTCCTTTCCTCCAGCCCCAGGCCTGACTACTTTGCGGACTGGAAAACTTTTAATTGTTGATGTTTTATAAAGGACAATGAAGGCTGCTGGTAGCTCAGAGTAACTTCCTAAAAAAACAAAACAAAAGAAAACAAAACAAAAACAAAAAACCTTTTTAACTGGCCGGAAAGCACTGCGGATAAAATAATCATTTCTCTCCCACACCGGCTTCCTCTGGCCACGGCGTTTAAGGCCTCCCAGTGTCCCAGATGCTTTCAGTGTTCGCCAGTTAAGTTCAGAGAGAGCTTTTCTTCATTTTGTAACTTCTGTTCTTTCACTTAGGAATGTGAGTCCCTACTCTACCAACTTAGAACTTCTACCCTTTCTGGAATCTTCTTGAATGAATGCACATTATAAAGGAATGGAAAAAGTTAACAACAACAACCAATCAACCAAACAAAGGGTGCATGTACGCTGTGGGAGAAAACCTCTAAACATCATGTCTAAAAGACACATGTTAAGGTGATAGGTCTCATTCAGGTACGTTTTACACGTTTTACGTTCTTGGAAAGCTGGAACCAAAGCACTCGGGCACTGCGAGGCCCCTCAGTTGAATCTGGAGTAAAGTGCAGTTGTGATCCTACAGTCCGGTCAATGTCATTTTCCCCATCATGAAGCCAGGTTCATGTTCCAGAAAAAGGAGAGATGAAAGCAGTGCCATGCTAAAGACTGTAGGAATATTTTAATTCATATGTTTCAATTCATTATGTAATAATAATAATAATATCACAGTCTATTTTACAAGTTAAATGTATGAGCATGTATGAAATAGAAACAGTAGGAAAAGACTAAACATGGGTCAAGAACATGAATTTTTCCAAAACCAGGGGCCAAAGGAAGATGTGCCCCCTGCAGGAGGAGGCAGGGAGAGTGACAGGAACGGCATCAGATTGTGGTATGTGTTTGTCCTCGGGTTTACCCTGGGAAGGAGTCGAGGCAACACCCTCTGCCCTGGTCTGAGGTGGGGATTAAGTCTGGTCAGTGGAAGATGGCAGCTTGAGGGGAAAATGCCATCTGGTTACCTACACAGAGCTGGTCCCCTGGTGGCCTCAGCTGGGTTTTGTCATAGGGAGAATTAGGGGTGGAAGTGTCAAAAATCAAATGTGTGGAGGAAAAGAGTAAACAGTTTCCTCCTCCCCCCCCAAAAAAACAAATTCTTGGAATGCACACATTCTTCTCTCAAACGTAGAAAAGTCTCACTCGGGATGTGCTTACAAGAAGATCGTCGTCAAAAAACTTTGTCTCTATGATAACATTCCCGCTATAAGTAAGAAGAGAGAGCAAAAGAGTGCTGCGTTAGGCAAGACTTCGCTTCCACAAAGTGCTTTCAACCCGGTCTGCTGGGCCCACGGACGTGCACCCACCTAGAACCTTGGCCTGGGGACATGAAAATCGGTGTCCATATTGGGTTAGAAGTCTAATACGACATTTAACTTATGTGACGAGGTTTGTCCTCCTCAAGTTCAGAGATCAGAAGAGAGAGCATGTCTTAATCCCGAGAACGCGTCAGGCCCTGAGGGCTCCACACGTGGGTGCTTAGAACATGACTGACTTTCTGACACACAGGGAGCCCGCGGGGCTGCAGGGCTGCCACCTTCCCTTATAACCCGCCGTGGGCTGGCCCGTCCTGCATCTATTCGCTGCACTTTGGGTAAGAGCACTCTGCTCTTCTTTTGGGGAACCATACATCTCTAGTCCATGGGTCTCCTCAAGTGGTCCCTCCCTCGCCTGGCAAAGGGGTGGGCACAGGGTGTAATTTGGGCCAATCGGACTCTCTCCCCTGAGCGGGATCCTTCCTATGGCTGCCCGTTGAGGAAACCAGCCACGGATTCCTGCCACCTGCATCATTTGAGATGCCCAGGCCTCAGCGCCACCCTTTCAACTCTGTCATGTTAGCCAGGGGCAGTTTCTACAGTTTGCAGCCAAAGAACCCCAAATGATACACCTGCATGGGGCAGAGTAGAATTTCATTCTTCTTGGTAGATATCTCAGTGTTTCAAAACTGAGTTAAGGGCAACAGAGGTACTGTTTTGGTTCTGAAAAGTAACACATGACTTCAATAACCTAAATATGTTATCGTAAACTTACTGGTTTTAGTGCGCAAAAGAAATCAAGCCTGGCCAATAAGAAGTCAAATTAAGGTCAATAAAACCTAAAAAACTCTCTTCTATATACTACGTTGTACTTTCCCAGGGTAACTGATAGCCAGCAGATACTTTTTGCTGGTAATTAATTATAAAATAGGTAAACAAAGAAATCAAGATCTGATTGGTTTATAGAATATAAAAATATCTACTGCTGTAATTAAAACACTATTGAAGACTTACACAGTAAATAATCTCTATTTACAAATTCAACGTGGCTTTCATAAAGGATCTGTTTAAAGAGCTGATCCAACATTATACAATTATCTGTGTGAATAACTTATTACTAGGCACTATTACTAAAAACTCTTGAAAGACTACCTTTTCCCAAGAGAAAATGGTGGGTGGGGAGTTATTGACAGTGTTTTTGGACAAAGGACAAACTACTTATTTTTTGAGCAGGAAGCACATCTATTAAAATGGTGAGCTAGTCCCTGAAAAAACTATAACTAAACAGTATCCTCTAAAACAGAATTAGGACTTTGCCAGATTCTGCCAAAGGACATTCAAACGAAGTACAGAGGACCAGAAGTTTGGTAGTCAGGAAAGGGGGAAATTAGCATGGATTTTATACATATTAGATGCTAGTTTCCTTCTCTGTTCCCACATTTTAGCCTCACTACACCTCTGTGAGAGAGAATCACTAATTCCATGTTTAGAGGGGAGAGGTAAAGTGCATTGTTGGAAATTACACGGCTAGTCGGGGTTACTCAGGAATTTAGTCTAAGGTCTAATCTACAGATTTTTATTCTTTCCATTCTATCACACTCTCTTTTTCAGACGACAGAAGTCAGTAAACTGTAAGCTCAGATGCCCCTGGACATTCTTTCACCCTCATTTTCGTCCTAGGTTGCCTGCCCGCTGACCGGGGTCCCGAATCCCACCTGCCAGGCACGCCTGGCAGACACACCCCGCAGTCGCTGTGGCCTGCTCACTCACGTTAGCACGCTGGCTGGCATCATCTGGGACTCGGGTGCTGCCTCTATCAGGGACTGCCAGGTATTTGTGGAGTTAGGGATCACAAAGCCAAACTCGAAGAACCATTCTGAAGGAAGAAGGAAAAGTGGGTGAGAGGGTGAGTGGGTGCCCCGGATAGAGCCTCGGGGTTCTTTGTCCCCCTCCTTTAGAGTGAGCCTCTTCACAAACCACTGGTGAAGCCACCAAAAACCTCCCAGGCCAGAGGCATAAAAAAAGGACACGGAAGCCCCTTTCGGGCTGTTCTCTGAACCACACCAGAGGCCTGCTCCCTAGGCCCTGGGGTCTAAGGAGCCAGGACAAGTGGGTGAGGACAGCATTAGCAACGTTTTCGTAGAAAGAGGCTAGATGTGAATTATAAACGGAAGTACAGAATAGACCTTTGCACTTGAGATTTTAGCTCTAAGACACCTACACGCAGTCTTCCACTTCATGGTGAAAGCTCAATGCAGGGTGGCTTTGCCAGTCAAATCTGTTTGAGTCTGTATGGAGAGCACTGTACCAGGCCCTAGTCAGCAGCTTCCTTGTGACCATGTGACAATACCATTTCAGTGACAAAGCAGACACCAATCCTAGGCCCACAGTGTTAAAAACTCTTTTGTTGGGCTCAAAGCCCCTTGTAGTGCCAGCTTTGTCTCTGTTTGTTTTTGCCAGGGGTTCTTGATCTTACAGGGTGTAGGATCCTATCACAAACCGAGTTGCAAAATGAATGTCACCCATGCAGAGCTTTAGTTCACAGGGTCTTGTCTTTTGTCCCTGTCACCCTAAGCCTGGATTTCAGGCACAGAGGCAGCAGAATACCTTCTAGGCATTGCCCTTTGAAGTAAACTTTTTGTTCCAGGCGGAATTTTTCCATTTGCTCTGCTGACGAGAAGTTCAATTCTCGAGACACTGCCTTGCACTTGAGAATTTTCTTGGGAACACGGGCTGGTAAAGAAAAAGAATATTGAAGCCATTCTAAATGAAAACCACATGACTATAGTGCTTCAGGTTTTTGGGAGCTGATTTAGAGAACCCATTATCTATGTCGGATTTCAGAGAATGCCTTGGTAACGGAATTATACTTTTTAATTAAAGGCAGAGGCCCCTAACTGGTCAAGTGCATTTGACTGAAAGATCTTCAAGGACCACCAGGTTCAGTGCGTCTGAGGGCCTCACCTAGCTACTCTCAGCAGGACAGGGGCTGAATGGGGGCCATAGCTCTTCACCTTCGCTCTACTCCATTCTGTTGGTTTTAACCCCTTAGTTTTTCTTTTATTTCAGGGAGATAAAAAATGCATTTTATTTTGGAAAAAGAGTAAGTTGAGATCTTGGTTGATATCTTTGGGTATGTTCCAATGCTAAAATTTCAACACAAAGTGGGTTTTGGGAAGTGGAGGACAGAAGCATACAAAAGGAACCAGAAATCTCGACAAACACCTGGCTTAATATGCTGTGCCTCCAGGCTTGCCCTCCTAGTAGTTCTGCATTGACTTAGCTCCCTCATGCTTAGGCCTGGCTCCCCATGGTCACGGCTCTGTGTGGACAAAGGGTTGGAAGGTACCTTCATGCTCCACTTCAGGGACTGACAGGTCTTCTGTTCCTTGCCAGAGGATCTTCCCTGTCTCAGCATCCCGAAGGTTCATCCAATTTCTGATCAAATATGTTAAGGAAAAATAAGGCATTGAACGCGACTCCTGCTTTGTACTTGGCCTAAAAGCTAAGTGCTATGAAAGCAAATAAGAATGCATAGGAGAGTTCAAAAGATATCTAAAGGAAGAAGCATAAAACCCAGAGGAGATATTTTTATCTACAACCTAAGAACCCAAAGACTGTACACATCTAGAAATTGTAGGAAAGAGGTAGAAAACGAACAGTGCAAAATTAAAAAATTTCTAACAGAATGTGACCAGCCAAGATAAAGGTCCTAAAGCAACAGATATGAGAAGTATCCCAGGAAACAACTCAGGCAGAACACTGTACGGTGATGATCATAGTCCATAAGTTTTACACGCAAGTCCAGAGGTCTCAAGTAGCTTTTCAGTGTCCTACTCTTAAATATGACAAGATAGCCAAGGATCACCAGAAACTCAAGGAAGTGTTTACTATGAAAGACAGACCAAAACAAAGAGAAAAAAAGAAACAAAAGGAAAAAAGACTATAGAGGAAGACACAAATTTTTAAAAAGGAGCATTAAAAACAAATCAAAAACAATCGGAGACGACATAAATCTTATGGACACTAATAATTATATTCAATTGAATTTTGTATATTTCAGGCGATTTCCTCTGACTTAAGATTACAACTTTTGAGGCTGGTTAACTGATAATCTTTTTCAGTCAGAAAACACCTTCTAGCTTAAGTATTTATATTGTCTAGCTTTTGTATTGTTCACCATATAGTAAATAATACCAATTTAAAAAAGAACACTCAGAGAATAAAAAAGAACTCTAGAAGAAATACATTCTGATGGCAGAACCAAACAATGCGAGGGGTGGAAGACAAAACTGAAGAACTCTTTCAGAAAGAAAAAGAAAAAGGCAGCAAGGATAGAAAACGGGAATAAAGATACAAAAACTAGACATCAGTCCAAGAGGCCCAGCATTTAACTAATACGGGTTAGAGAAGGAACAGAAAAAACCAAGGAGAGGAAGTCATCAGTGAATTAATTCAAGAAAATGTCCCAGATTGAAAGGGTCCAGCAAGTGCCGAAGTCACATTGTTGTGAACTTGCTGAACGTCAAGGTTAAAAAGAAGCTTCCAGAGGGAAAACAAATTGTCACATAAAGGGTCAAAATCAAAATGGGGGAAAAAGTCATAATGAAACAGATTTCAACAGGGACTCTGGAAGATAGGAAAAAAATGGGGCAGTATCTTTAAAATTTTCAGGGAAATGATTCCTAAAACTAAAAAATAAATTTACTTTCTCAAGAAACTAATGATAACATGCTCATTCGAAACGACAGGGAACACCGAGGAAGAGGACGGCATCGGGTCCAGAAAGCAAGGGTTCTAAAACAAGAGACAGGTGAAGGTGTCCTTGGAGTGACAGGGAAGGAGACCATGGAATAACAGGTCTTTGGCAGGCCTGGAGGGCCACTGGAGGTCCACGCAAGAGCCGGTCAGAATGCTCAGGGAGAGACTGAGATTTTCTTTTAAGAAGATGAAATTCATACAATATACAATGTGTTTATACGGAAAGAAGATTTATACAATTAGGATATGTGGGGGTTAAATTAGTGAGACCTACAGAAAATCTAAGCAAATGAATAAAAAATCAAGACAGTTATTAACAGCAGGGAAAAAAATCAAAGGTACACTGGAAGAAAGTAGTAGTCACAGTGTACTACATGGCTTCGTTGCAGACAGTGTTGACATAGTCATAATAATAAAAACACAGACTATGGATTCAGTACAGTTATTCTGCACGGATAGGGGAAGAAGACTGTGATATGTGTGGTCAGGTGTAAAGTGTTGAGAAAAAACAAAACTCATTTTCCATAGTGTGAAGTCAATAAAAAGTGCCTAAAACAAAAATATTAAGACCTAGCCACAGTGTGTTATTTAGAAACATCAAGATATACATCAAATAAATAAGCTAGAAAGAACTGAAAATAGTTTTCTCTGGAAAGTAGAAAACAGGAGTGGGAGGACGTGGAATGCTGCTTTTCATCAGAAACTGGGCGGAACTATGACTCTAACAATGTACACATCCAAGTTGAGTAAAAATAAAGATTAAATGTAAAAAAATAGTCCCAAGTTTTTTTGTTTATTTTTTAAAACAATGGACAAATCATTAAAGGAAAAGAAAATTAATATCATCCATGCCTGGTGGCTAACTATGAGAAAGACGGTTAATTTTTGTAAAGAGATTGAGCTTCAGATAGATACAGTGGATACAGTTTAGGTGTCTTTTTGTTGTTGTTGTTGTTGCCTAGCAACCAAACCCTCTTGCCAACAGCAACCTGCAGCCTTCCTTCCCCAGTGGGAGGCTGTGACTCCTTTGCAGTATAGCAACTAGAAAATCCAGATCTTCTTTCCTGGTCCTGGTGCAGCTGGAGGTGAGCACATGACTTGGGCTTGGGCATCTGGATACCTAGTTCTGTGGCCCTGAAGCCGCAGTCACACAGCATTCGAGGAAAAGCCAGCAATTCTTTAGGGCGGGGCAGCGGGTAGTACTCATCTGACCTTTCCTGCAGTGCAGTCATTGCTGCAGGCCCTGGTCCTCCACTGGCAGTCAGTTTTCAAAGCCCCAGAGAGCCTTCAAATCTCTCCCATTGTTTGGGCAGCTTGCAGTGGAGGACCCTGAACATATATTGTAATAGTATCATTAAGTATGTAATGGTACTACACTTAACTTTCTGGAGAGATTCTTTCTAGATTTTCCTGCTGTATAAGAAAAGTCACAAAAGATAACCAAGGGTTATCCAGTAGAGCACCCCAAATGTGATGGGCACGCTAGCATCCTGGGCCCTCGACCTGCTTGTGCACTGCTCCCGCCCCGCATGAACCCACCACTGCTTTGAGGATGTGTTGGTTGAGCTACTCTCCGCTGGTGTGTTCAATCCTAACAAACTCTCCTCTGCACTCATATCACCGGATACTGCTGTTCTATACCGAGGTGGTTTTCTCTCCTCTGCGTCATATTTCTAGACCCTGCTCTTTTCAACAACTAAATTCAAAAGCAAGTCAAAAGTATACATACTTGCTTAGGTCATGTCTTACAATTCTAATTACTACAAATATGCCTACTCATTCTGGGGTCTCCACATGTTAAGAGAAAGCCCCACTAACTGGAGAAATAAAACAATAGATACTACTGCTAGCAAGTCTACTCTGAGCTCATATCTATTTTTTCTTTTTTTTTTTTCCGCCTACAGTACCCTGTCTTCCTAGGTGGTCTCCCATCCAAGTAATAACCAGGCCCAATCCTGCTTAGCTTCCGAGATCAGAAGAGATCAAGCTTGTTCAGGGTGGCGTGGCTCTAAACAGATCTGCCTTAGACACTCAAGCCCAAGATTTTCAGAAGACACACTACTCATTTGACCTCCTCTGTACATGCTTTTCACCCTTTCTCTACAATCTCTTATGTCTCACGATAGCCACACTGGACACCAGACTTTCTTAAATTAAACACAAAACTAAAACGACTTCTAAAGTTCCAGGCTCACATGCAAGTAAGGCATTCGGCAAAACCACTGCGATAAAGCCTTAGGGAAGGGGTTCCCTTCACAAAACAACAGCTAGATCAGACCTAGCATCTTGCAGAAAAAGCATTAGTGCCGCTGGTCTAGGTCAGAAAAGAAAACCCTGGAACAGAACTTTCTCTTCAATCTATTAGGAGATAAAAGGAAAAAAGTCTTAAATTAGAGTGTTCTCTCTGGTAGTTAATGGATAGTAAATTTAAGATTCCTCCATTTTATAGTAAAAATACATAGTTTATCAATATAAACATCTCCTCTCTTTATAAATGACCAGGTTAAGGACTTATCTTTTTGGGAAATATATTTAAAAACATATCTTTTGTCAGCTCAACAATTAGGCATTTCCTGCATGAACTCTAATCTGGAAAACTGCCTATCAGTGTCTATATCGCGTGTTTCATTTTATTATCCTGATAAGATCTATAAGATTTTATCCTCAATAAATAATACAAAACTAGAGAAATAAAAACAGACCTCTATCCAACAATAATGAGATAGAGGTTACTTAGAGCCCCTCCAAGTTCTATAATTTTAGGGGTGAAAAAGAAGGCTCACAGTTCACGGTGGAGACGTAGCCATTTGGGAACAACGTTATAAATCATAAAAGTACAAATCCATGAGTTTATTAGTAAAAAGAAATAAAAATGATTGAGGTAGGTGTCTTAAAATAATAACAATGAGAAAAACTGGTCCTCAAAAGAAGAAGCATATTTGGCTAAAAATACTGAAAATGAAAGGCAAGGCTGATGGCTGGTCATCATCTGGCTGAAAACAGTTTTGTTTTAACAGCTTTTTGCCAACTAGATTTTTTCAGAGAAAAAGAGCCTGAGTTTTAAGACTCAAAGGTCAAGTCACTTCCAATCTTGAGAGAGGAGAGGATTAGGTGGACAAGCTTTAAGGAGGGGAGCTGGAGGACTATTTATAAATACCACCTTCTGGGTCAGTGAGGTCTTTTCTCATTTAAAAGCTCCCTGGTGATTTACGTGCAGGACAAGCACAAAGCAACACTCCTTTACTATGAGGAGTCTCTGCTCGGAGGACAGCTGCTCCTGGTAGCCTCTTCTTTGCAACCAGGCAGACAAAAGACACACTCTCATGTGTAAAAGTAAGAGCATCTTAAAAATAAGCTTCAGAGCCAAATCAATAGTTTGTAAAGTGTCAGGCCTTAGGAAAGGTCAAAAAGGAAGTAAACGAAGATCACCATTATGGAGGAATGAGACACTTGGCTCACCACGGAAGGGCACATAAGTCCTCTTATGTTTTAAATAACAGATTTAGGTTCAGTCCAGGGTGGGAGCTGAGGACAAACGTGAGGCAGAGAAGGCAGTCAGTGAGGTGGTGGAGCGGGAAGGGAAGGCTTGGAGACTGGAAGTCCAGAGTACTAGGTAAACTCCCACCAGTGATGCGAATGCGGGACCTGGAGATTGAGGATGTGAAATATTTTGTAAC